GGAAATGTAAGTTACAGAAGTGTATGGCACTTTCGATGACCGAGGCCGAGTACATAGCCACAACTAAGGCAAATGAAGAAATATTGTGGATGAAGAAGTTTCTCTTTGAACTCGGCCATGAAAAAGACAAGTACGAGCTAAAATGTGACAACCAAAGAAAAATTCATCTTGCGAAGAACTTGAACTATCACTCCCACACTAAACACATTGATGTGAAATATCACTGGATCCGGGATATGGTGGAAGATGGAGAGTTTGAACTCGTCAAAGTGCACCCCGACCTGAATTGGTCTGGCATGATGACGAAGCCAGTACCTGTAAGAAAATTTGAAGAGTGTTGTGAAGGTGTCGGGCTGTTGCTGATGTCGATGCATTGAAGTCGAAAGGGGAGAATTGTTAGGCTTTTCCTCCTTAATGCTGCACAAGGCTCAATGTTGGTGAGTGAGGCTCAAGAAACTTGTGGCTCAAGTAACTCTAATCCCCACTTTTGATATTCTAGAACTTTCTCTCCTCCCTTATATAAACATTAGTTGAGGGTTGGAGGAGAAGTTGGCTTGTGAGACAATTTTAGAAAATTTTGAGAGTACATATAGGGAGAAGCTTGAGAGTTAGACCTCCTTATGGAAGTTTAAGAGAATACCTTCATTGTATGTGAGGTTTGATGTACCACCATTATTGGTGAAGTTTGATATCTTGTACTCATTATTTCCATAGTGAAAGTTTGATTTTGGACTAGTGTCCCGTTATTTTTCACTTCTTCACGTTGGAGAAAGTTTTTCCATGTGAAAATATTAATGTTGTGTTTATTTTTTTTTCTCTCTCTCTCTCTCCTTTATTTTTTTCGTTTCTATTGTGTATAGGTAGACCTGCAGAGTTCAGGCTGACCTCTTTGATAGCTGTAAAACCCTGTGTATACCCGGTTTGTTAACATGTCATCGTATTAAGCCATGCTTAATTAAAAATGGGGAATATCTTTTTCTTCTCAATTATGACGTCATTATCAATTACCAAGTTGATTACTTAATTCTTTTTCAAAACATTGCCTGTATGTAATTGCAAATAAACAGCTGTCTACACTGAATAACCTCATAATATAAATATGTGAGTATCTAAGTCACGAAACTACAACACGCAGTCCGGATCATAATCCTGATACAATAATACAACTCGAATTCAAAACAAGACATAGTCAATCAATGTGGTATGGACAACCCCCATGCTCACCAAATAAGGCAACAAGCCCAACAGAGTTTCAACAATAATAACACAATCATAAGGATAGCAGAAAACATGCTAGCATCCAATCATAACAGTATAAGCAGCAAGCATATCAATCAACTAAGCTCCGACCTCCTGCCGCCAGAGGTCTCAACCCCTGGGTTACCTGAACCTGAAATAAGCGCCCTAAACGTGGGGTGAGATCTCTAAACAGAAATCTCAGTAAAGCAAGGGTTCCTCAAGAATTTCTCCACCCCAAGCTCACTTACATGTGCAATATAAGTTCTAAAAGCAGTTCAACAATATAAGTTCCAATTCAGTGCAATGCAGCAGATAATCATGTCATGTGTGTCAACTATTCTACTGGCCAGAGAAATGCAGGAATACGTCTATTACCCACACAATACGTGCCCATGCCGTACCTGCCCACAGGATCACATCTCGTCTAGGCGAACACCATATACATATCATAAGGCATTTGCACTTTACAGCTCAGTAGTATTTCAATAAAGCACTACATAAAAACACATCATGCATATAAACCATCCCCCCATGGGACATGGTGGAACCAACAATGGCTAAACCGAGGACACGAAAGCTTACCTTGCAAGCTAACTATATAAGTCAAGAGTCCACACAAGCTCACAGTCCACAAACAGCAAGATCACAATCTGTTTTAGACCAACAATCCAATCAATATTCATACTCTATAAGCATATGACATAAAGACAACACATTCCTCTTACGTTTTATGTCTTTAGGCTTCTCACCAAGCCAAGAGCCCTTAATCACTTAGATTCTGACTTAGATTAATTAATACAGAAGTTCAACTTAATCAATCTAAGGTCTACAAACCCCAAATACAGTTCAGAATGAACAGTACAGTTACTGTTCTCGAAAACCCAGAATATCCGGATATATGTCGGGGGCATATCCGGATATCATATCCGGGTATGCATATCTGGATCTCATATCCGGATATCCATATTCGGATATCTACAGGCCTTATATTCGGATATTGGTATCCGTATATATATTCGGATATCAATATCCGGATATCATATCCGAATACCAATATCCAGATATCATATCCGGATATTTCGCGACAAAATGCAGTTTCTGTATTTCGTGAGATATCACTCCAAATGTAGCATTTTTAACCCATTAGAACGTCCAAGCATGCATTTTAATTCACTTTTAGGTTCATGTTCAGGTTGGTTACTTATTTAACCCATTAACATGCCAAGACTCAACCTTTAAGCAAAGAAAACTCATTATCAAGGTTGGTGAACTTACCCAAGGCTCAAAACAAAGCAACAATGACTCATGGAGCTCACCAATCAGTTGCAAAGGTTCTGTCTCCCAAGGTACACGGAAATGGTGATCAAATGTTGGTTCTTTGCACTAAAGATCACTCCTTGGAGCTCCCACAACCAAGGAAATGGCTATCACTCTCACAACCAAGAAGGACAGCAGCTAAACACCACCAAACAAGGCTACCACTCAGCCAAGAGCAACCCACAACCTCACAAGACTCACTCACACCAATCTATGATGTTTTGGTGAAGAGGAAAGGAAGAAAGGTGCTCACTTTGTTCACCCAAAATGGAGAGGAGAAGGTGGCAAGGTTTCTGCACACAAAACTCAGAAATCCGACGTAGAAGAGAGGGTGGCTGACCTAGGATCATGTGCAAAGGTCCTTATATAGTCCACTTAAGTCTTAATCGCATTGTATTAGCTCTAATAGCTACGCTTAGTATTTTAATCCCAAACTTAGGATTCTGAACCTACTCATTTTTCTAAGATTTATCATATTTTTATTTTATTTTTCGCAGCACCTTTCCGGTACGCGCTTTTACATAGTCAGTATCAGTTCTGACACCAGTTCTCAATATTTCGACTTGAAACTTGTTTTACCAGTCATATATATTATTCTAGGAATATTAACACTCTTATTATAATTTTTCGGGATACTTCATCGGTACGCATTTATACCGTGGAGCAGAACCAGTATCTGCACTTTTCGTCGGAAAAGTAACTTTTAGCACTCTTAATTAGTTAGCATAATTATTTAAGCCTTATCATAATTATTAGGATCAATTATGGAATTATTTCCTTAATCACATAATGAATTAATTAATTTCTTAAATTAACGGTGCAGATTTACAATAGCCGCGAGCTCTGAGCTCGATGTTTGACTTCCGCAAAGCTTCTTAGCTTAGATTGAGGGACCGAGTTCGTCCCAGGGACATGTCCAACTAACTCTCCAATTTAACAAAAATATATTTTAGGCGAGTTGATTGTGAAAAACATTAGGTGTATCTTCCCATTTATTATATATAATTTTAATACATTTTATTACGCATATTTAGCAATTGAGTACGTAAAAACCAGATAAATCATCAACATATACTCTTTTAAGTCATTAGGATTTGTGGTAAGGAATTTAGATAATTTGTATTAGATTATGTGTTTAATTTTTATTATTATATCTAAAAAAAATTATGTACTCTTTAATAATAAATAATGTTTACGCCGTGTTTTCTCCACTTCAACTTAAATACACCCATTTGTACAATCATGCACAGTATTAAATACAAAAAGTTGGTACTAGCATTATAATCACTACGGGAGATGAATAGATTATGGTTCCTTTTTTCCGTTGTCAGAGCAGGACGGATTAAACAAAAAATAACGTTCAATGCACCAAATTGTCTCTTGCACCCATAATAATTCTGAATTCTAAACCCAGTAATCACGGTGGGTCAGCACGATGAGACCCACAAAGTACCAAACCGAAGGGTCGCAGAAGGTGAATTTCTTGATTTTTCTGTACACAGTTACCATATTTTATTTGTTTACGCTATCGCTACCCCTCTCCAAATACGCATAAAGTCAAAAGAGGAACCTTCCTATTATTACCAGTACAGCAGGAATAGAATGACACTATGACAAAGAAAAAAGCCAAAAAAATGAGACCTTGTCATCTGCCAAAATGACAAACGAAAGATGTCAAAAATATCAATAGAATAAAGGGATACCATATTATTATTACATTATTATTAATGTTATTACTATATTTTTATCATATTTTAACCGTTCAATTTTGTCAATTAATAGTTATCATTTATTATGAATTAATAATTAATTCATGAGTTTAATTTGTAAAAATAATAACCGTTGATTGACGAAAATCAACGATTAAGATATGATAGTGAAAATATGATAGTAATATTGGTAGTAACATTATTTGATAATAACAATATTCTATGGGAAAAATGTTTCTGCAGTTACTGTAGATAAATTATCTGCATTTATTCCCATATATTTCTAAAACGACGTCGTTTTGGTATTGAAATATTAAAAAATTATAAATATAAAGACCATTATAACCCTAAAATAAATTAAAATTACATAAACACCATGATTTCCACCCAAAACGATGTCGTATTGGGCTTACTGCAGATAACTTATCTGCAGTAAGTGCAGAAAAAGCGAACCCATATTCTATCTCTAGAATAAAATAAAAAATTAATATTTCTCATATTATAAGAGATAAAATTATCTCTTATGTATATATAAAAATAATGTGAGATTATGTAAAGAACAAAAAAAAGAAAAATACAAGCACATAAAATAAAATTACCTCCTAGGAAAAACATTAATTTTATAAAACAATGATTATTTTTCCTTTATCTTTTACTGATCCAAACATAAGATTAAGCACCAGTTTAGCATGTTATAGTCCTTTTTTTTTTTCAAAAATGAAAATGAAAATCTGCAATAATAACACTATTATATCATCAGATTTCTGTATCCATTATCATAGATATCGAAAATATTCCCTCTTTTTCATTTTTTTTCTCTCTAACCTCCAAAGGTTGGAGGAAATCAACATATCGGAAAATATATAATAAAACAAGAAAAACAAGTATGAAAATGAAAACTCTTAAAAAATAATAATACAATAATGAGTCAAAGCCATAAAGCCCCTGCTTCTTTGAGTATAGGAACCAATTGACCAGAAATATGAGTAGCCATAAGACGATCCAATCCTCCAAACAATTTTCCACCTATAAACACTGCTGGAAACTGCACCTTCCCATCATTTTGAATGGCACCAACGATTGCTTCCAATTCTCTAACAACACCCACTTCATCTTTCTCCTCCACCTCGTGTACCGCAGGGTTGACACCAAGACCAAGAAGCAAGCGCTTCACCACATGGCTCATGCAGCAACCTCGCCTTGCAAAGACTATAACGGCGTTCTCAGAGACCTTGTTGAAAACCATTCCCTCCGTTGCAAGGTTCTTGGGAGAAACGGATGAGGAATAATTATGAGTAGTTAATGAGTGTGGGGTGATTGTGAAGTTAGTAGTTTGGGTGTGGTTGTGGGTTATGAGAGGTCGCCATGACCTATAAGGAATTGCTTGTTGCATGTTGTTTGAGTGAATGAATGATTGTAAGAGAAAAAGAGAGAGAGAAAGAAGAGGTGTGTGGTTTTAGTGGTTGGTTTATGGTTATGGACTTATGGTTATGAGGGGGAATATAAATGGGGGAAGAGGTGGAGCTGAGTGGGTGATGATTTGAAAGGGTCATTAACTCGTAACGTCAACGGTACATAAGTATTTTATTAAGTTTCTAAGATTACGCGGTGTTATTAGGTCATCCTCACGTTTTAGGTTTTGTCACCTTCCTCATCCTTTGTTTTTCTACGTTTTCATTTTGGACGGCCATCGATCCTACTTACTACACATCCCACTTGGCATTTCACTGCTGCTAGTGATCATATTTTTAATAAGAAAGCTATTAGGGAATAAAAAGTTATTTCCTATTTTAAGGTCAAGTATTTTATAATATATAATTAAGGTCAACCATATAATAAAGATTGCAAATAAGTCTACAAAAAATAAAATAAAATTACTGAACAATGAAAATGGAAACCCTTTCATCACTCTTACAAGTTGAACCATCCTCCTGAATATGTATTTTGATATTACTAAAACAGAGCTGTTCTCTTTCAAAAATTATCTAATATGTGCTCGATATTGATCCATCTGCTTCGTAATGTTGTCGTATGTTAATGAATGTTAACTATTTGAATTTTTGTACATCTTAAACGCTTGAAATATAACATATGAAAGGAAAAGTATACTTTCACAAAAAAAAAAAAAAATTAAAAACGTACGTCCCAATATTTTAAGACACTTTTACTTAAACGTTGTGTCATTTTTGTTATTTGCTTTTCTGCAAAGTGGTGGAGCGAGGGAAGGTTAATAGAGATGATCACCCCTTTAGATTTGTACAAAACTTTAAAATTCAGCATTACTTCTGATTTTTTTTTTATATATTTCAAATTTGTCCCCTTCTAAATTATAAAAGCCTTTAATTATAAATATTATTTTTATTTTTATTTTTTATAACATAAATAATTGTTATTATTTTTTTTAAAAAAATTATATTCTATTTTGCTTCCTTAAAAATATTTTCTTCAACAACTCTTTCATATGAAAAGGACATATAGTTCAAATTTTGCACTTAGTTAACTTTACTTATCTATGAACTTATTTTATATATTTTAAAAGTGTAAAAACTACTAACCACCAAAAAAAAAAGTGTAAAAACTATGGGAAAAACTATGGGAACTCACTTTAGCTAAAATTATTATTTTCATTTAATATTTAAATTAAAAAAAATTACATTTTTTTACCATGATTATGTATATATAATTGATTCTCTACCATAAAATGTATTAGTTTTGACTAAAATGATAGGAATATATGTCTTTCAATTTAATTAAGACATTTAATAAAATATAATAATTTTAATTAAAATAATTATCCAAACATTTTCCCTTATTTTAAAAAGGCAAAAATTGAAATTAAAATTCTAGAGGATAACAATGAAAAACATGCAAACAAGCGTGAGACACACGTTGACAGGGGAATGGAACGACGTAAGCATCATAAAGAGCCGCGTGGCATGACATAAGAGCACGGGCCAACCATGTGGAAAGGATAAAGCTTTATCAACAGATGACGTCACCATGTTGTAGCCGACAATCCTAGATTTGTCGTTCGAGAAATTATACCTGTAAAAGAAATTTAATTTATTTATATTTTAATATTTCAAACTTAAAATTTTAATAAAAATTAATTAATTTTGATGTTATATTTATAAATTTAATAAAAATAAAAATTAAATAATTTCCCTAAAATATAAAATTTTCTCAAATATGGCATAAGGTGTTAAAATATAAATTTAGTAATATTGCGTTATAACTGGATAAATAAGCAATAATTTTTCCTGGCATGCAGTGCCACGTAACAAGTCATGTTCAACGGTGTTGACATAAGCGTTACGCAAATCGGGTGTGTGGAGTGGGGCCCAGCTTAGACCGCATGCGCGGGAATTGCAGTTGCGGAAGCTTCGTTTCTAAACCGTAACGCAGCAACACGTTACACGTGTTTCAAGTCGAGACACACCCACTCACAAAACAAAACTACAATAGTCACGAGTCTCGCTGACTCTGGTGCAGGTAAATTTCTTGTCAGCAATAAATTTTATGACGTGAGTTTTTTTGTTTAAATATAATATTATGTAAAAATTAGATAAACACAAAAATACTAAATAATAAAATCTTTTTAAATTTGTAAAATCATATTAAAAGTATGCTACTTATTTATTTCATAATATAATTATGTTAAAATAAATAAATAAAAGGGCTAAAATAGTACAATTTTAATTTTTAAAAAAAAATTAGAATTAACCACAAACATATTAATAACTAGATATGGTATTTTTTATTTTTTTTTTGGTAGTTAACTTGAGATGTTTTTATTCATCTAGTAAGCACTATTTTTTTTCTCGTCAAAACAATTGTGAAAGTTACATCATGCAAGTTAACGCGGCATTAGTTGACACTATTAAAAAATAAAAATAATTTTTTTCTATTTTTTTATAACAATTATTTTCTATTTGATAAAATAAATCCTAAATTAGTAAATAGCTTTCATAATACATCATCACCACTTTTATGAAAAGCTGGATTAACTCTCAAGTCAACATCTTTCCGTCAACAATATTTAGTTTGTATTTGATATCTACATTTTCCAGAACCAGGGATTTTTTAATATACTCTAGGAGTATATTAAAATTTTGTGGTCCTTTTCCTTTTTTAATAAAAAAAATTACTCTTATATCCTCTCTTTTTTTATATTCCTTCTCTTATCTTCTTTTTTTCTTTTTTTGGCCCGGACTTTGCTGCCCCGGCCCACGTTAAAAGCGCTCCAGAACCAGATATCTGGCTCAACTCCTCCTCTTTGGTATAAAGCACTTTAACTTTACTTTCTTTCTTTCTTTTTCCTATTTAATAAACGTTTTTCTTATCAACCCAACTTAAAAAGAAGAAAAGTTAATTTCACTTGAAGTCTTATATAAGAGCTTACATTGTTTCAAATAGGAAAACATAGAGGTTTTAAAATAGGCGTAGATTTCTACTGATACCTATTATCATTTTAACAATATATAATTATATAAAAATAAATAAGTTAAAAAAAGCGTAGGATAGACTTACTTTTGAATATACAGCGGGATTGTATATAATAAGGGAAAAATGTGTATCATTTTAAAAGAAAAATGTAAAGTTGTGTCATTTTAAGTGAGAGAAAGAGATAAATCATAAGGGAGAAAATGGACAAAAAATAAATAAATGTGTGGATCTCACATCTATATAAAAATAAAATGATGTAAATTGTATCATTTAAAAGGACAAATACTTTTCTTATATAATAAATATGGTCAGGCCTATTCTTGCCAAAAGTGAAAGAATGTGTTTTTTTTAATATTATTGCTCGAAATTTTTTACAGCTACAATTATAATTATCGATTCCGGATAATATATAGTTATTTTATTATTATAGTTATGTATTATTTATAATACATAATTAAAATCTGATTGTTGCAAAAAAAAAAAAAAAAATTCTAAGTAAAAAGAGAAGTAGATTTCCCAAAATGAAAATATCATTGCATTTAACAGGACTTCAGGTCGGTCCTTGTCCAATGCCCACAAGAGGCCCAAGCCCAAAGGGTAGTACTTTCTCCCCAAGTCAAAGACTAGGGTAATATTTTCTATAAATACACATATGTGCATCCTCATGTTCAGACTTTTGAAACCATAAGTATAACTCTCCATACACACTTTACATGGCTCCTCACCATCGCATCCTTGCATAAGTGGTTGTCACCTATGATTTTGTGTGTGTGTGGATAAATAGTAGGTATCCCCAATGGGATGCAGTATTCGGGAGGAGTCCATGATTAAAATTTTAAATCTCTCCCAAAGATAATACTGGAAATAATCGAATACATATTTTAACCCTCACCTACTGAGTTCCCATACACCAACTGCTCCCATCATTTGGTGGTTGTCACCTATAATCATCTCCTTCATAATTGATCACTTACTTTGCGGATTCAATATTAACCACGATCTATCCGAACACAGAATCTCTTATGTTACATAATCATAATTAAAAAAAAGTAAATATATTTATAGCTAGTTTAAGCTATCCAATCATGAAAAAGATTTAATGTGATTTTTTCAAAAATATTCTCACCAAAATTAAACTTGATAATATTTTTTCTATTTTACTTCACTATTTAAATTTTTCACTCAAATATTTACACTTAATTAAAAAAAAAAACACTTACTAAAATAAAAATGCAAGCAGCAATGGTCGAATAATCGCTACTAAACAATTTGTGACAATTACCATACGACTATTTATGCTCACACAAATAATGAATGCCCTCAACTACAACTTCAGGTACTTTTACGCTAAAAAATAAAAATAAAAATAAAAATGAAGAATTCGAAAATTCTGATTATAGTAATAAGCTATATAATTGCAGTTACTTCGAAAATGGTAAGGTATTTGACGCAAAAAGTGGGGTTACAAGTGTTGGCTTTGATCTTTAATTATTTATGCCTTTGATATTTGTGTCTTTGGTAACAATTGTATATTCTATTTTTGCGGTATGTTGAGCAGCTACAATTGGATTTTGAGATGGCTGAACATCGTTTAAAAGGCACCTAACACCTATACAATCTGAATGACACAATAGCAGACATAAATGTTTAATATCCAATTTTATTCGATTTCCTTTTTATGGAGTTACAAAGGCTACAAGAAAATTCAGGTAGTAGATTTATCCTGTCACCAGAGAAGTTTTTTTGGGACTGCCCATGGTAGTCCCTCTCCAAAATTAAAAAAAAAAAAAAGATTGAGAGGGAAAAGAATCAAAAAAACAGAGATAAAAATAAAAGAAAATTTTTTATTTATAGAAAAGGAACCACTGAATAAGTGGCGACTTGGAACATGTTAAAATTTTCTCTGTCATGAAACTCAATCAAATAAGACAAATTAAAAACCATTACGTACAAATAACAACAATGTAGATGTACATACCAAACCCGAATCAGTTCTGTAAAAATAAAGAACACAAAGATTTATTGTGGTTCAGCCATTAGGCCTACATCCACACTGATGACATTTCTCCCCCTCTC